GTAATATGGTAATTTTTTTTTATATTTGACTTGGTTTACGTCTATGGATTTTAGCACAAACGTTTATCTTTGTCAGTAAATTCTATTTTGAGTTCTTTAAATTCTTTATTGCAAGTTTATTCCCGAGAGCTAATTGAAAACAGACACCGACAAAAACATTTGTGTTTGTTTTTACGCAGACGTCAATGAGTGTGTCGCACGACCATGTGGACATGGCAACTGTGTGAACTACCCTGGTGGATACCGATGCACCTGCTTACCTGGATGGACAGGACAGAATTGTCAGCAAGGTATTTCTTTATATTGCTGGTTTCCTGACACAACATGTTGAGGTCTTAAAAAAACAACAACAAAGCAAACATATTACCTAAAATATATATTAGGCCACAGCAAGTAATTCTTATGGGTGACATCAGCGCGCGCATTTAGTTTCCCCTGATTTTGGAAAAAAGATTGTTGCCTTCTGACAGTGGTCAACATGTAGAAATGGGCGAAGATGTATGCTGCCATGCCGGAAGGTGGAGAGAGGAGACAAGAAAAGACTCTGATTTAATGTTTTGTTTCTTACTCTGATGCAGGGATATGTGATGTTGGCTGTGTATATGTGATGTTCCCACTGAATCAAAACCATTTGATTGAGTAAAAATTCTGAAATGTAGGAATTATTTTCGGCCCGCCTTTTTTCCGCCCGCTTGCATTAGATTTGGAGTCTGTGGTGGTTGTCATCCATAAAATTTACAAGCTGTGACCTTAAGGGCAACATAAGACCTACATGTGTCAGAATTACTGGGGTCAGTTTGACCCCACAGAATCACGCATTGAGTTTCTAGAATAACTCAATAAATCATACGCAAATCCCAGTAAAATCGAATGAGACATTATAAGATATTTATACAAACAAACTCATAGGAAAAATTTCGTTTACGACAAGATACGCCGAAATGGCACATATTTGTATGCATTTTCGTACACATTTTTGACCCCATACGGTGGTTTAAGGGTTAAAGCTGGCAAGTAACAGATTCTAAGTTTCTTTACCATATACGGACTGTACCTGAGTAGGTAAACCCAAACATGTTTATTTCTTTTTTATTTATTTAAACTCAGACATCAATGAGTGTACCACAAACCCATGTCAACATGACCGCTGTGAGAACTACGCTGGTGGATACAGTTGCATCTGCTTTACCGGATGGACTGGAAAGAACTGTCAGCAAGGTTATTATTTTTCATCATGAAGTAATTTATTGTTGACTATAATCTTTAGGTTGAGTGGTAAATTCTTTACCTATTTCTGCTGTTCAAAAATATCCTTTTGATACTGTTAAATTTGCTTCAACGCTACAACATACTTTATTTTAGTAGGACTACGAAAAATGTCTTTCCCACTTACCGACCGATGCTAGGAAATTACCGACGTCCCCAGCCAAGTTACATATTCTATTTTTGTAAACATAAAACCCTTCAGCGTCATGTGAGGGAAATTTTATTAACACATTTTCATGAGCAAATCATTAAAATGAAGTAAAAAGGGGAATCCCTATCTGATGTAGTTTTTAGGACGGTAAGCAAAGACAACATTTTCCTCAGGGCCTTACCCGTCAACATAACATTTGTTTCCATTTCCCTACAGACATCAATGAGTGTATCAGAAACACATGTCAGCATGGAAGCTGTGTTAACAAAGATGGCGGATACGATTGCAACTGTCACCATGGATGGACTGGAACAAACTGTCAGCAAGGTATGTTTTTCCTGATGAGCAAAAGTATTCGATCGAACTATTCAACTGTGAGCCAGTGTCTTCCAGTGATGCTACGAAAACCTGTTTCGTACCGCCGGACGTTAATCCCCTGCAATACATTTTGAATCCCCAAACACCAGCTGACTAAAGTTGGCTTAAGTGGGAGTAGTATGACCAAATCAGAGCAATACCTTCCATTTCTATATAAATCATATCGAATTTAC